GTGTTTTATTTGAATAGCTTAGTATGGAATGCACAATAACATGGTATGTTTATACATGACACTAGGCCCAGTTTAATATAAAACACAATTGTATACAATATATATAGTAGGGGATCCCTGCTCCATCTCTCTATCAGTTTGGGGGTCGTTGGCCTGAAAAACATTGAAGACCCCTGATCTAGAGTCTTTGGCATTTCCATTTGTAGCATAAATATTGACTATGAACACATATGCAATGTATTTATTGTCAATACTCATATGTGCAACAGTATCAGACAAGACATGCTTGCCAGATACCATACTTTCCACCCCAGCTGATCTATACGTACATCCACATTTCGGTCGAATAGCCCCACCCACACCGTGCGTACCGTCATGATCCTGGGTTGTACTTTAATAACCAGCCTTCACTCTTTTCCTTCTTCCCCCCAGTGGTTGTGTTCTCCATCCGTGCAGCAGCAGAGGACGACGCTGTGTGGCGATGCAGTGTGTTTCCTGTTCATTACACCACTGGCCAGCCTGTCAGGATGGCTGTGTGTTCAGGGAGCCATGGACCTCTACTACACCAACGGCATGGAGGCCCTGGGGCTACTGGTCCTCACGTTGGCCCTCTTCAGCATATACGTCTTCTGGACACTGGTACGTTCAGGGTCTATATTCGTCATTCAGTCAGTACATCGTTTTGCTTATTTTACCCTCCGTAACTTTAAATGCAATCCAGCCTTGTGTAAAAGGATGTTGGCAATAAGTCACTGCAGCCCCTTTCTTATTCCATAGTCATTTGATTTGGTTAACATAAAAATGTTGGTTAGCAGCTTCAACTTACTAGGTTTTTTTTAAAAACCACCCATCAAATAATTAGCTTAAAATTACAAATAAATCTCAAAAAAATGAAAACTTGAACTTTCAGAGGGGAAGTGCATTCTTGACCTTTGGGAACATAGTTTCAAGCTCAGCCACTTACAAGCTTTTCCCAGGCTTTTAATCTACATCACATGGTCTTCATCAGCCAATGGCGTTGACTCAGTTGTCATCCCATGACAACTATAGACCTAATAAATCATTTCAAATGCATGGTCCGGCTCGACTCAACTCACTTTTGGTACCAGGTCCTTTTCATGTATTATTTTGTAACATCTACATGACTCATTGTGAATCTTTTTAGTCTGCACATCATTGATGTATGTGTACAGCACAATTTTGCATGCTGCCAATTAAAAAAAATCTGGGTTGAGTGAATAAAAGAATGCAGCCTCTAATGATGTTAGCTTGGCTATTTCAAAATCACGGGTATGTGCAGGATGTCTCATGCCACACTGGTGACTATTCTTTCTGACCAATCAGTGGTCTGCAGTGTTTTAACTCCACCTTCTAGTATTGGCTCAGCTCGTTTGGAACCTCGATCAAGGTGGTAATAAAAAAAAAAAGTACCAGGTACTATCTACACACAACTTTAGTCAATGGAAAAGTGAAAAAGGTTGAGTAGAAGTATTTAACTTTGGTCACATCACATTTGACCATAAACCTTTACCAGCTGTACTGAAACGTGATGCGTATTTGTTTCTCAGGTATCTGTGCGCTACCATATGAATTTGTTCCACACGTGGAAGAAGACCAACAAGACAGTGCGATTGCAGATTCCCTTGCCTGCCCACAGCACACCTACCCAACAAACCCTGCTCATAAACACCTCCTGCAAAGGCACCAACAAGGAGACTATGGTGTAGACTACAGTCTACAACACTGCACATACCTCATATACAGTGGGTACGGAAAGTATTCAGACCCCTTTAAATTTTTCACTCTTTGTTTCATTGCAGCCATTTGCTAAAATCAAAAAAGTTCATTTTATTTCTCATTAATGTACACTCAGCACCCCATCTTGACAGAAAAAACAGAAATGTAGAAATCTTTGCAAATTTAAAAAGAAAAACTGAAATATCACATGGTCATAAGTATTCAGACCCTTTGCTCAGTATTGAGTAGAAGCACCCTTTTGAGCTAGTACAGCCGTGAGTCTTCTTGGGAATGATGCAACAAGTTTTTCACACCTGGATTTGGGGATCCTCTGCCATTCTTCCTTGCAGATCCTCTCCAGTTCCATCAGGTTGGATGGTGAACGTTGGTGGACAGCCATTTTCAGGTCTCTCCAGAGATGCTCAATTGGGTTTAGGTCAGGGCTCTGGCTGGGCCAGTCAAGAATGGTCACAGAGTTGTTCCGAAGCCACTCCTTTGTTATTTTAGCTGTGTGCTTAGGGTCATTGTCTTGTTGGAAGGTGAACCTTCGGCCCAGTCGGAGGTCCAGAGCACTCTGGAAGAGGTTTTCTTCCAGGACATCTCTGTACTTGGCCGCATTCATCTTTCCTTCAATTGCAACCAGTCGTCCTGTCCCTGCAGCTGAAAAACACCCCCATAGCATGATGCTGCCACCACCATGTTTCACTGTTGGGATTGTATTGGGCAGGTGATGAGCAGTGCCTGGTTTTCTCCACACATACCACTTAGAATTAATGCCAAAAAGTTCAATCTCAGTCTCATCAGACCAGAGAATCTTATTTCTCATAGTCTGGGAGTCCTTCATGTGTTTTTTGGCAAACTCTATGCGGGCTTTCATATGTCTTGCACTGAGGAGAGGCTTCTGTCGGGCCACTCTGCCATAAAGCCCCGACTGGTGCAGGGCTGCAGCGATAGTTGACTTTGTGGAACTTTCTCCCATCTCCCTACTGCATCTCTGGAGCTCAGCCACAGTGATCTTTGGGTTCTTGTTTACCTCTCTCACCAAGGCTCTTCTTCCACGATTGCTCAGTTTGGCTGGACGGCCAGGTCTAGGAAGAGTTCTGGTCTTCTCAAACTTCTTCCATTTAAGGATTATGGAGGCCACTGTGCTCTTAGGAACCTTGAGTGCTGCAGAAATTCTTTTGCAACCTTGGCCAGATCTGTGCCTTGCCACAATTCTGTCTCTGAGCTCCTTGGGCAGTTCCTTCAACCTCATGATTCTCATTTGCTCTGACATGCACTGTGAGCTGTAAGGTCTTATACAGACAGGTGTGTGCCTTTCCTAATCAAGTCCAATCAGTTTAATCAAACACAGCTGGACTCCAATGAAGGAGTAGAACCATCTCAAGGAAGATCAGAAGAAATGGACAGCATGTGAGTTAAATACAAGTGTCACAGCAAAGGGTCTGAATACTTATGACCATGTGATGTCAGTTTTTCTTTTTTAATAAAATTGCAAAAATTTCTACATTTGTTTTTTTCTGTCAAGATGGGGTGCCGAGTGTACATTAATGAGAAATGAACTTTTGATTTTAGCAAATGGCTGCAATGAAACAAAGAGTGAAAAATTTAAAGGGGTCTGAATACTTTCCGTACCCACTGTAAACGCAGGCTGGATGAACACCACTTCACTAACACACTGTCGGTTATTACATTACAGCCTCCAGTATGCAACATGTATGAATGGAGCCCCGGGGCCTGAACCACAAGGTGTATGGGATGGCCAGCTAGCTTTGGGCTTCAAGGGATGTTTTAGTGGGGTTGTTTCATAGACTGTATATAGGAAGTGGACGTAGTCTTCATGACGTCACCCATTGGTTCTTGGACTGACGTTTTGAAGCCTCGAGTCCTGCATTTTGGCCGTCGTCATCTTGGCTTTTTTTCAGCCAGTGACCAGAAGTGACAGTATTTGGAATGCAGAGGAGTGACTTCGAGACGCTGTATACAGCTCTGGTAGCGACCTGTCAATCACAAGGTAGCCCCGCCCTAAAGCATACTTTGCTTTATGGTCCATTTCACTCTTAATAGGACCATAATTTACTAAATGAACATCACACTGTATTGAAGAAGACTTGAAACTAGAGACTGAGACCATAAACTCATGTTTACTGAGGTAATAAATCAAGCGAGAAGTACAGTTATTTTCTCATAGACTTCTATACAACCAGAGGAGTCGCCCCCTGGTAGACACTAGAGAGAATGCACGTTTTAAGACACTTCCATATTGGCTTCACTCTTCAGAACCGGAGGTTGCTGCCTGGGTTGTATGAGGTACAATAGCCAAACTGGTTATAACTAGTGTAAAACCTACAGTAGACGGCAGTCGGCATGCCCCCAGTTCGGGAGTACAGCAGCAAAATGTATTTTAGCCAGCTGAAAATAAAGGAAAGAATCAATATTTTAAGCTAAAGCTACATCTGAAATATTTGCACTGCTTAACCTTTCCTTCAGAACTGACGGCACAAGATTTTTGACAAAAACAGTAATTTTACCTCACAGAACACGGGAGTCGCTGATCGGTTAGTTTTTATGCGACTTTGGTGAATACGAACTAACTCTTTAAAAACACCAAGTTGGACATTTTCCCAATGGTTTCTAGAGTGTCGTCTTTTACTCTAGCTGTGCGACTATATTTCACCACCATGAATCAAGTACTCTACTCATTGTTCTGATGAAGAAGCTCCTCAGGATCCACGATGTTCGGCTCAGTGGAGCTAGGGCAACTTTGGTATCGTTCAAACTGGACCCTACTTTACCCTATTTGTGAATCAAACTGACTAATCATTTCTTAAAACTGGTCCAGTATTGAGCGAGAGCGCAAAAACCAGCTGCCACTCACGGGCTGCAGATTTAGGGCAAACTGGCACCATCATTTACATCCACCTAAATTGCTTGTTTTTTTCATTACAGGCTCTGAATGATAATATAATTGTTTGACATTATGGAAAGCGTCTTGCAGAAGGAGGAGTCCTGAAATCCTAACAACATGTTGTCAGACAACATGGGCCCATCAGTGGCAACATTGATGCTGCTCACTTGCCAGCGCAGCATCATCCTTCAATAGAGGACCAATTTTTTTAGTCGTTTTCTCAATTAGTCACAAAAACATGGGAAAACAGGATCCAGGCTGAAAGACGCCCACGTTACCCTTTAACCCACAGACTGACTCCTGAGTTGCACTCTGATGATTTTTGGTACGTTGCTGAATGAAACAAAGGCAGGAGCAAATCCAACATGTTTGAAACAAGCCATGCATCTTTACACAGAGCCGTGCACACCGGGTACAAGCAGACGAGCAGAGGGGGAACAGCACCGCCCTCCTCACCTGTACAGCACGCCGTCTGCTCTGCACTCAAGAGACAGAACAACACTTCTTCTTCCTCTTGGGCTTCAGTGTAGGCAGGAAAAAAACCAGACATCAAGTTTCATGTACTGAAGCATTTGGGCCCGTTTCTGTAAGAGCACTTCACACTGAAGTTATAAAGTTTGTTTTTGGTTGCTTTATGAGTCAGTGTCTTTACCTGTCTCCGAAAGTGCTGGATGTCACTGCCTGCGACGTATTCTTCATCAAAGTCCAGTTCGGTCTCCTCACCTCTGTCCTGCATGCACACCCGGTGCTCCGCCATCTCCTGGGAAGGGATCACATGGGGAGTTACATCCAACACTGGAAGATTATATATTTATCATATTCCAATGTCTATATCCAAAGCAACATTTTGTAATAACTATGTTTCAGAATCTAAAAAGAAGATTTTAAAGTGGGATTCAATCCATAAAATGTAAATAGTTAAATTCTATATTTCACAATCTTGATAAATATGCTCAGAGACAACACGGCACGTATCCTGAACAGTAAAGCATCATCCGGTCTTTATTGACATGAAGAGAATACCGCTTGAGTTGATTTACCAATACTATAAAGTTCGTAGCCTTGATTGTTGAGATGAATTCTGTGCAGGAAGGACTTGTGATATTATGCAAATAGGATCTCATCTGAATAAGATTTCTTATTGTTTCGTTAACAGCAAGATTTATTTTGTTTACGTCTATGAATTCAACACAAACGTATTCTTCAGTGTAGCATTATCAGGGGAAGTAGGGTGCGTCCCCGATAGTTAACTGCATCCTTTTGGATTTTAATGCGACAGACACAAAGCACGTAATCAGCATCATCACAGGAGTTTGACTACAGTTAAGCAAACTGCATCTCCCAGAATGCACCAGCACAAAATGCTCCACTAACCTCATAGTTGGGGTCCAGAAGAACCACCCTTACATGAGTGACAGGGCCCCAGCTCCTCTGGCCCTGCAGAACCAGGTCCCCAGAATCAGCCTCCGCCTCTTCACCTGCGGCCCAGATCTCTCTCACACACACACACGCACAGAACTGCTCAGCAAATCTTATTAATCTAATAATGAGGCTTCTTGGCAGCAGAGCCAAGGGAAGTACAGTTAAACAAATGACCAGCAAGTACTCACTGTGAGCGTCTGCCCACCAGCCAGGATGCAGGAGGAGGGGATGTGGAAGGAGAGGTCTTCACAGTCTGGGTACATCTTTCGTACCACCCAACCACCCAGCGGCTGCTCCTGGAAACGCAGAACAAGTAAATACATTTGAGGTGGGATGCTGTACGCCATAACGAGATTATTCAATGAATTGGGGCCGGATTTTCAGATTTTTAATCCAGTGCAAAACATAACTGTCAGTTCAGTTCACTGGTCTGGACAAACAAGTGAAGCAGGTCACAGTCTTCTGCCTAATTGTTAATAATGAAGAGAAGTGTAAATCAACATCCGAGTCTCATATCAGTCTTATCAACAGAAGTTAGTCAATGTGTTGTAGAGACAGATTTATAAACAATACGTACGCACAAAAACCATGCAGACACCATTTATTACAAATCAATGTGCGAGAGAATGACGGCTGCTCTGGTGCCGTTTGAGAACTCTATGAGAGGAATGGCAAAGTTCTGGATATTGCTGGACCGGACATTTCTACATATACGGCCAACTGTGGGAGTGGAAATGTTTCACACCATACCTATGCATACTTGGAAGAACAGACATTGAACTGTTTTTGGTAGTCATTTGACTAGTACAAAAAATGAACTGGCTGGCTGGCTCGTTAGCACGGTAGCTTGTCCTTCTCCAGAGCACCACTAGGACGGTTAGACCCAGTGGTGCCGCTGTTTGGCTCATTTTCTGTAATCAGTGCAGTATTAAAGCATAGTGGAATTAACAAGCTAGCTAACCAACCAGCTGTCTGCTACTTTGATTGCTAATACCACCATGCTTTAATGCTACACTAGTTACAGACAATAAGCCAGACAAAGTCGTCCCATCTGTGCTCGTGTGGATGAAGCATTAAAAAGAGCAATATACAACATCTACAGCATTAATATAGCAGCAAACTGACTAGTTATGTGAAGATATAGTAGAGTAATCAGAGCTTCTGAGCTTTGTCGACATGGCCACAGGTGCCTTCATGAAATAGTTGTGCATGCGAGCCCGCCCCACTGGCTAGCTCATGGCGGCCACTCTGAACGTACGGCAGTTGCAGATGATAACAGCGTCCCGACAAACAGTGTCGCAGAAGAATAGCACTCACCCTCCGGCTCCCCTTCAGGTGAACACTTAGCTCAGAGCTACCAGTGAGCACTTACCTCACTGGAGCACACGTGGCCTTCTCTTACGCACAGTGTTTACAATCCATGGTGATTTATTTATGTCACACATCACTTTTGATTATAGAAATAATTTAATTAATTTCATATTCTGGACAGCCAGTCTTGACGGTTTTAAATTGTATTTCGAGACAGTGGTGAAAAAAATGAAGTTAGAGCCCCGTCCCTCAGCTGGTAGATGCTCCTTTTTCAGACCAATACTTCCTGGTGCTGGAAACCTGTAGCCTCCATGCCCAGCTGAGATATCTCCGATGACATCACTATGACATCACCAGGGTTACTTGACAAAGCTCCTACAGGAGACGTTATTTAACCATCAAGTAAATTGACTTGGACATGTAAAATGGATGAGCGTCCCGATAAGAAACAACCCGATGTGCGTCTTTGCACACGCCAGTGCCATGATGAGGTGAAACTGGGACGTTCAAACTAAGTCAAACCCAAAAATGAAGCCATTATCCAGCTGCACTACAGCCTTACCGTCTCAGAGTTGTTCTTCAGTCGGACATATTTTCCGTCGACGTCGACCTCTGCCACGCTCACAGTGCCGTGCTCTGCTGACCGACTGGACATTTTAGAGACCGGTGATATGCCAGACACTCCCTCAAATTTCCGTTTCTTCCCTCTGAGCTTGCGGCTGCCGTGTACCTGAGTTCGGGGTATAGCTGTATGCTGGGAAGGGCTGGGTGACAGCTGCAATCTGAGAAAAAAAAAAAAAAAAAAAAAAAAAAAAAACACATTTGGATTAAGAAAAACTGGCAAAACGCGCCAGAGGTCCAGCTATCATGCCATGTTACATGATAGACAGATGACAACCAAACCTCTGCTCCTCCACCTCCAGCATCTTCCTGTAGGCATTGATCTCCATGTCCAGAGCCAGCTTGACATCCAGCAGGTTCTCGTAGTCCTCCAGCTGGGCGAACATCTGGCTTCTCATAGTCAGCAGCTCCTGCTCCTTCTGACTGAGTCTCCGCTGCCAAACCTCCCGCTCCCCGTCAAGAGTCCTCTCCAGCTCCTGAAAGCGGCTCTCTAGGACCATTTTCTGACAGAGAGAAGAAGAATGTGAAGACAAATGTAAGAGGCCAGAAAGAAGAAACGCAGCGTGGAGCAAACTATACAGATTTGCAACACAAAAAGGTCATCGAAGAACTAGTTGGGGCATCTAGATAAATAGGGCATGTAAATGAAAAACAGAGCAACCAAAATAAAAAGCAGCCTCTACAGGCAACGAACGGGGGCGCGCGCACGCACACACACACACACACACACACACACACACACACACACACACACACAC